GCGGGGGGGCGGGGGGGTGGATTTAGACCTCTCATTCATTACTGGTGAAAATAACAACTAATTGGTCCAAGCTACTTGGGAGGCTGAAATGGGAGGATCACTTGAGACCAGAGTTTGAGGCCAGCCTGGACAATTTGGCATGACCACATCTTTAAATTAATTAATTAACTTTAAAATTATGAGAAAACCCTGGGATTTTCTCAAAAATTTTAAATATAAAACTACTATACAGCTCATCAATCCTACTTCTCGGTATTTACTCAAGAGAAATGAATACATGTCCACCCAAAGATCTACACACCACATTCTCACAGCAGCATTATTCCTAATAGCCAAAAACGAAAACAATCTAAATGTCTATCAGCTGGTGAACAGACTTTTAAAAGTTAGTATAGTCATATAATGGAATATTTGACCAGCAAAAAAGAACTTCTAACATGCTACATTTAGATGAACTAAAAAAAATGTTAAGAGGAAACCATACATAGAAGACCACTATCTAAACATATTTATAATACTATACAGTATATGAAATAGTATATTTATATACTATGTATATACACATAGTATCAATGTATATTTATAATGTATTATATACATAAAATGTACAGAAAAGGCAAAATTATAGATACAGAAAGTGCATTAGTAGTTGCCTATGGCTGGGGCAGGAATAGAGATTAACCGTAAGTAGACATCTTACTTGGGGTGGGTAGTGAAAATGTCCTAAAGTGGATTTATGGTGATGGTTGTACCACCCGGTTAAGTTACTAAAATAACTGAATTGCACTATATAATTTTTCTTTTTTTGAGACAGGGTCTTACTCTATTGCTCAGGCTGGAGTGCAGTGGCACAATCATGACTCGCTGGAGCCTCAACCTCCCAGGTTCAAGCGATCCTCCCACCTAAGCCTCCCAAGTAGCTGGGACGACAGGCATGTGCCACCACAGTCAGCTAACTTTTTTTATTTTTTGCAAAAATGGGTTCTCACTATGTTGGCCAGGCTGATCTCAAACTCCTAAATTCAAGCGATATTCCTGCCTCACTCTTCCAAAGTGCTGGGATTACAGGCAGGAGCCACCACACCCGACCTGAATTGTGTATTTTAAATAGGTGAATTTAAAAACATGTAAGATGTGCCTCAGTAAAGCTGTTAAAAATAATACACCTTAAATAATATTTTAAAATTCTAAATACAGCAAATACCAATATATAAAATCCACTTAAGCAAAACTTCTTCAATTTTTAAGAATGCAAAGGGATCCTAAGGCCAAATAATTTAAGAATCACTGTCCTATACTAACTAGTAGATTCAATAGAGTTCAAAAGGGAGAAAAAACTACTTTCGATAGCATAAAAGTAAACTCTAAGAAAGAATATTTTAACAGTCCACAAACATCAAGAACTAGGAAGATTTAACTGTTCAGAATTGTACTTGAAAGAAAAAAAAAGGAGAAAAAGATTACAAATAAGCCTAATTTGGGGGCAATATAATGCACTGAATTCTGGCACTGACTACTGAGGTTTAAATACTAGCTCTTGGGCTTCTGTGCCATTTGACAAGTTATTTAACCTATATATTCCTCAATTTCCTATTCTGAAAAATGAGAAAAGTATTTATTCCTACCTCATAGAGTATTATCTGAGTTAATACTTGTAAAGCACTTAGAGGAATCCCTAACAGTTATGCTCAATAGGGTACTATTTACTATATTTTCCTATCTTCATGTTAAATTTATGTAGGGGAGATATTTAGAAAACTGTGATGCAAAATAGAAAATTTACAATCAGGAGTATCTTTATAAAACAAAAAAGACTTTTGAATGGCTTCATATACATATTCAAACACACATACATATGAGTAATTTAAACCTGTGAAATAAATACTTTTATAAGAACACTGCTCTAAGAAAGCAAAATAATCTTTAGCCATTCTGAAATATAGTCTGCTCTGTTTCTGGTTAACTTAATTCCTAATGCTTGTTGACTAAAGACTGCTGTTTTAGGTTGGGCGCAGTGGCTCATGCCTGTAATCCCAGCACTTTGGGAGGCTGAGCGGGTGAATCATGAAGTCAGCAGTTTGAGACCAGTCTGTCCAGCATGGTGAAACCCCATCTCTACTAAAAATAAAAAAAATTAGCAAGGCATGGTGGCGTGTGTCTGTAGTCCCAGCTACTCAGGAGGCTGAGGCAGAACTGCTTGAACCCAGCCGGCAGATGTTGCACTGAGCCGAGATCACGCAATTGCACTCCAGCCTAGGCAACAGAGATTCCATCTCAAAAAAAATAAAAATAAAGATTGCTGTCTTAATACTATTAGATCAGGAACTAAGTAATAAAGGAACTAAGGCTTAGAGAGATTAATTAACTTTCCTCAAGTCACACAGTTGTGATCCAGTATTCAAACTCAGGATTGTCTGACTCCAGATTCCATGTTATTCCACAGTTCCTCCCCGTTAGAAAGGGAGATTCATTTTGGCAGGCAAGTCCCCAATAGCTTTATTCATAATGCCACTATTTCTTACATTATTTCTGGGGAAAAATGCCTGACACAATTTAGGACAGAGACTGAGATGCATTTCCTCCTCCTTGTCTATAATACATCAGAAATTCTCATAGGATTCTCTTAACTTTTCCTCCAAAAGAAAGGACAATTCTACAGAATTAATCTTAACGAGGGTTTCCCTTTTGCTGAGCTCACTGTACAGTGAGCAAATATATGGGCTCCTGAAACAAGTACCCAGTTCTTTGAGGCTTACACTAAAATAACAAAGGATATATACAAAAAGAAAAAGAACTATCAATCCCTCTCTTACTCTTTTGTTTCATCATAGATTCCAAAGCCTGGGCAAGAACATTAGAAAAGAGGGGAAGTCATAAATAGATGGGGCTTAAGAAAGCTAAGCTACTTACTTCTTTTCCTCTTTGTTAAGATTTATTCTACACTGTTAAGTAGGTAGTAACAATGCAGAATTAATCTTAACGAGGGTTTCTCTTTTGCTGAGTTCATTGTACAGTAAGCAACATGCATGGGTTCCTGAAACAAGTACACAGTTCTTTGAGGCTTACACTAAAATAGCAAAGGATACATACAAAAAGAAAAAGAACTCCTATCAATCCCTCTCTTTCTCTTTTGTTTCATCATAGTTGCATAAGAGTAAGACATTTGTTTATTTTGGGTTTTGAGGCAGGGTCTCACTCTGTTGCTCAGGCTCTCATATCATTGCTCAACCACCCCTGCCTCCTGGGCTCAAGCAATCCTATCACCTCAGCCTCTCAAACAGCTGGAACTACAGGCATGCACCACCACGCCCAGCTAGTTTTTGCATTTTTTGTAGAGAGAGCGTTCGCCTTGTTGCCCAGACTGGTCTCAACCCGTAGGCCCAAGTAATCCATTCATCTCAGACTCCCAAAGTGCTGGGATTACAGGCATGAGCCACTGTGCCCAGCTAAGAGTAGAAATTTGTACATCAAGGATTAATGATGTTTAATCCTGAAAAAGAAGAATCCATACTGAGGAAAAGAGAAATGTAGATAACAACCTCAAAAATTCTCATCTTATTCGAAACATCAACCCATTAGACCCTGGAAGTAAATTAAGAATGAGGCTACTGAAGTTGTTCACATAATACCTACATAAGGAAATACACTGAGTAAGAACTATTCCTGATGCTGAAATGTAAAGGTAACACAACCATCATTCAGTAAACATTTACTGACAGTAATCTAAATGCCAGTGGGTGTAAACGCATTGAGTAAAAAAGTTTTAACACTACATAAAACTTTGAAGATTAGTTTACCCAACTTCATGAGTCGGTTATTATTATCCCCATTTTATAGACAGGAAAACTGAAGCACTTAAAGTTACCTGACTTCAAACTCAATCAAATCTGCTTTGTTCAGGCCAGGCACAGTGGTGTAATCCAAGCACTTTAAGAGGCCGAGGCAGGTAGATCACCTGAGGTCAGAAGTTTGAGACCTGCCTGGCCAACACGGTGAAACCCATCTCCACTAAAAATACAAAAATTAGCCAGGTGTGGTGGCACACATGCACACCTGTAGTCCCAGTTACTGGGGAGCAGGAGAATCATTTGAACCCGGGAGACAGAGGTTGCAGTGAGCCAAAATTGCACCACTGCACTCCAGCCTGAGCAACAGAGCAAGACTTTGTCTCAAAAAATAAATAAATGTTTATTTCAAGTACATATGATTAACCACTATGTGATATTATAAAACACAGACACCAATGTTTTCAGGAATGCTGTATCGAGCTGATATGAAAAATTGTACACATTTAAGACACATTTACATGGTATATTCATTTACATGCTAAAAGAATGTATCTCAGCATGATTTTAAAGAAGCAAAATAGCATTAGCGGTTAGGAGAACAGACTTTGAAGTTATACAAACAAAGGTCTTGGATCCAGGATTTATTAGATGACTGACTCTGGAAAATTATCCTCTGTGTGTAGTGGTTTCACATCTATAAAGTGTGTACAATAATACCAACTTCTTGCTCAATAGATGTGTTAATGCTCAGTAGATGGTTGGCTTCATTTAAAATAAGAAATAAAAATTGCTATATATTAAAGGACAAAGAAAATAAACCAAAATTTTAGACATATTTGGATGATGGGATTGTGGGTATTTCTCTCCCTTTTTCTTTTTTTTTGATTTTTACAAATGTTTGACAGCACATACTGGTTTCATGGTAGAAAAGAACATAAGCTTTAAAATTTCTAAATATTTGACAAACCTGGAATCAGCTCAAAAAAATTAGTTGCAGTGAGCTGAGATCAGGCTGCTGCACTCTAGCCTAGGTGACAGAGCAAGACCCTGTCTCCAAAAAAAAAAAAAAAACCCACAAAACAAAAACCATAAACGAATAGTTTAAGTACTAGTAATTCTACCTTACAAAAGAAGCTTAAAAAATTAAGTTACACGTGAGAAAACTAAAGGGTGACGAATTTTCAAAGCTTCACTGAATCAAAGAACAAGATTTTCTAAATTAAGATTATGACTCTGTAAATATAAAATAACATTTTGTCATAGAAAGATGTCCAGACTAGCTAAATAACTGACACGAATTCAAATTGATCCACAGAGCAGCAAAACACCAAGATAAAAACCTACTTGACAGGCTGGGCGCAGTGGCTCATGCCTATATTTCCAGTACTTTGGGGAGGGCAAGGTGGGAGGATCACTTGAGGTCAGGAGTTCAACACCAGCCTGGTCAGCACGGTGGAACCCCAGATACACTAAATATACAAAAATTGGCCAGACATGGTGGTGTATGCCTGTAGTCCCAGCTACTCAGGAGGCTGAGGAAGGAGAATGACTTGAACCTGGGAGGCAGAGGTTGCAGTGAGCCGAGATCACGCCATTGTACTCCAGCCTGGGCGACAGTATGAGACTCTCTCTCAAAAAAAACAAAAAACACCACAAAACCTACTTGACCTTCCACTCTGCTTTTGTGCCACTCAGTAATTCTTACGAAACAAAAAATATTCTAAAAGTGCTTTCCTCTTCAAAAATTCAGAATCCTAACTGGAATAAGATTAACTAGCCTGAAACTCTGTAGCTTTATAAGCTTTTTAAACAAAGTTTCCTTTGGCGTTCTCTTTAGATCTAGAAATTAACTGAAACATGATCAGCAATACTGATAAAACACAAAATACAAGCAATTAGCAAGTATCATTTTTACTAACTTACAGATCAGCTAATTTTTGTTTATAATGTGTACTAAAATCAAAAGCAGTCTTATATAATGGAAAACATTCTGTAATTCAGATCGGTTCTTTTATTGGAATGTGGCATAAACATTAATGTGAGTTATTTTGAAAAGAAAATTGATCAACTTTGCTCAAGTACTACCTAGGAAAAATAAGAGGAAACAAAGCTAAACTACTTAAAAAGTAGTTTAAGAGTTCAGCTAAACCCGTCCAAAAATTATTTTACTGTAAGAGACTGATACCTGAAAATCCCAGGCCCTTCGCCAAAGGAAAATCATTAATAAGAGGACAGCATTGTCTTACATACTTTTGGCATTTACCTACCTATAAATGGAGAAGGGACTTAAATGAACTCTAAGTCCATCGGAAGTTTAGAGTCTTTAAAACAAGCCAAAGCAAAACAAAATATACACCCCAAGAGCAAAAACAATAGGAACATAAGAAAAATAGTACTAAGAGTCACATGTCTCTATAGAATAGATTTCATAAAGCCTCAATTCCTTGTTTGTAGGATTAACTGAAAATAAAAAACAGCAAACAAAGGCTGGGTGCAGTAGCTTGTGCCTATAATCCTAGCACTTTGGGAAGCTAAGGCAGGGGAATCAGTTGAGTCCAGGAGTTTGGGACCAGCCTGGGTAACACAGCAAGACCCTGCCCTGTCTCTACAAAAAAAACATTTTTAAAAAAATTAGCCAGGCATGGCAGCATGCAACTGTAATCCCAGTTACTTAGAGGGAGGCTGAGGTGAGAGAATCACTTGAGCCCAGGAGGTCAAGGTTGCAGTAAACCATGATACTGTCACTGCAGTCCACCTGAGTGACAGAGTATTCTCCATCTCAAAAAAAAGGCAGGGCATGGTGGCTTACACCATGATCCCAGCACTTTGGAAAGCCAAGGCGGGTGGATCACTTGAGGTCAGGAGTTTGAAACCAGCCTGACATGGCAAAACCCATCTCTACAAAAAAAATACAAAAATTAGCTGGGATGGTGGCACATGCCTATGGTCCCAGCTACACAGGATGTTCAGGTAGTGGGAGAATCGCTTGAGCCCAGGTGGCAGAGGTTACAGTGAGCCAAGATCCCGTCAATGAACTAAAACCTAGGCGACAGAGAAATACTGTCTTAAAAAACAAAACAACAGAAAACAGCAAACATTATGGGGCGCTGGAACAAAGCAACAAATGATTCAAAGGAACTAATGAGGAAATAAGAAGTTTTAAGTACAAAACTTATTTGGCTGACCAGAAGTACCTCAAAGATAATAAATATATACAATCTAAAAAAAATTACTATCAATCAAACATATACGAAAATTTACCTTTATCTTAGTATGTACCTCAAAGATATCTGGGATGCTACCAAAAATAGTCTTAATCTCCTCTGGTGCAAGGATAGGTCCACCACGTTGTCCTTCCTCTTCCAAAGGTACCTGAAATAACTAAATGAGAAAAAAGACTAGTTTGAGTAGATTGTGGGAAAAAGCAAAGAACTAAAATATAGACAGTGATAAAGGAGAGAAGAAATGTTAATAGAGAAGGAGACACTAATAAAAAATACCCTAAATTGAAGACATTTCCCCCATATTTTTTACTTTATTCTATTTGTGTATTCTATTTATTTGTATACCTGTGTATATGTGTATACCTGTGTATATGTACATACATATGCTCCTCACAAAATGTTGTTTGAAGCAAATAAAAGTTCATCACACAGTTCTGCAAATCAATCATTAAGATTGTTAGTATGATACAAGAGTAATTTCTACTTTTGCATTCAAGTTATCAAGGAAGAAAGCAACAAAGCAATCTGTTATCTCTGGACATATACTTAACATATGTGCTAAGTGTTTTAGAAATGTTAGTATAGAAATTTGGCTTGGGGGAAGACTGGATTTGAAGCTAGAAGATCTGTTTGTATCCATGTTGCTGCTTGCGTCAATCTTAAAAAATAAAAGAAAAAAACTAAGAATTAATAAATGAGTTTGGCAAGGCCACAAGACACAAGGTCAGTGCATGCATATGTGTGCAGACACAAATCAGTTTTACTTCTATATACCAGTAACTTAAAATAGAAAATAAAATTTTAAAAGTAATATCACAATAAAAAATTAAAATATTTAAGTATAAATATAACAAAATATGTTCATGATGCTGAAAACTACAGTATACTGATGAAAGAAATCAAAGACAACCTAGATAAATGTAGACATACGGTCATGGATTGAAAGAATCAGCACAGTAAGAATGTCAATTCTCCCTCCCTCAAATTGATTTATAAATTTAATGCCAATCAAAGTTCCAGGACTTTTTGTAGATATAGAAAACCTGATACTAAAAATTTATATGGAAAGGCAAAGAAGCTTCTTGCTATAAAGCTGCAGTGTTCAAGACTGTATGGTATTCATGAAAGGAGAAACATACATAGATGAATAAGACAGAGTTCAGAAACAAACTCATGCAAATATGGTCAAGTAATTTTAGGCAAAAGTACAAAAGCAATTCAATGCAGGAAGGTTAGTCTTTCAACAAATGGTATTACAATACCATTTGCCATAAGCAAAAAATGAATTTCAGCCTAAATATAACACTTTATACAAAAATTAACTCAAAATGGGTCATGGACAAACAAAAACCTAAAACTATAAAACTTAGATGAAAACAAAGGAGAAAATCTTCATGACTTAAACTGGGGTAAAGAGTTCCCATACCTGATATCACAAACATAATCTATGAATGAAAAAACTGTTAAATTAGACCTCAATAAAAATTTAAAACTTTCCTTCAGCAAAAGACACTTGAGAGAATTTTTAAAAATATGCTATGGACTATGAAAAAGTCTTTGCAAATCATGTTTGACAAAGGACTAGTATTCACAATATAAAAAGAATTCTCCCAGCCTGGCCAACGTGGTGAAACCCCATCTTTACCAAAAATATACAAAAATGATCTGAGTGTGGTGGTATATGCCTGTAGTCCCAAGTGCTCAGGAGGCTGAGGTGGGAGAATCACTTGAACCCGGGAGGCAGAGGCTGCAGTGAGCCAAACCGAGAGGGCACCACTGCACTTCAGCCTAAGCGACAGAGTGAGACCCTACCTCAAAAATTTTTAAAAAAAGAACTCTCAAAACTCAGAAGGAAACAACCCAATCTTAAAATGGGCAAAAACCATGAACAGTTATTTTAACAAAAAAGATATACAGATGTCAAATTAAGACAGTATGTTCAACACCGTTAGTCACTATGAAAATGAAAACTGAAACCACAATGACAGATTCTATCTTTCCAATATTTCCCAAATCTATCCTCTTGTCTTCACTGATACTATTCTAAAAAAGTTCAGATCTTCAGAATCTCTCACGACTGCTGAAATAGCCTCCACATTAGTCTCATTGCTTTTCCAATTTCCCCTCTTCTATTACTCCTCCGAAGTGAACTAAGTTATCTTTCTGAAATGCAAGTCAGATATCACTGATCTCCTTTCCCATTAAAAAAAAAAAAATTATTCTATAGCTTACAGATAGATAATATAGCACACCATTCAAAGGCTTTCTCTAGATTGGTATAGGCATCTCAACTCTCACTGTAACCATATGACTACTCCACCCTTAATATTGATAATACATTGAATGATTGCTTGTATTGTTTACTCAAAGAGAATTCTCACCTATATCCTCTACTTGTACCAATCATATTCATACTTTAAAGTTCACTTCATTGTGAATATTCTCACTGTTTTGATTTTAAGGACAGGCTAAACATTCACTATATTAAGACCATGCATGTGTCTCAGACCTACCTCTTTTCCTAGGTCTGTTTTTTTTCCCCCTGTGGTTTTCTTTTTAATGATCTTAAGTCTTATGATCACACATAATTTTTAAATTTGTGTATATCTCCTCTACTTTAATCCTTTTAAGTTGGCAAAGCACCATTCCCAAACACAAATACATAGCAGTTCTACAGTTTTGTTTCTGAATGGCTGTTTAAAGACAATCCTAAATTATAATTTAGTTTGACTTAGACTGTAAAGAATTCAAGAGTGAAGTTTAGTTGGTTCCTATTTTAAAGCATATGACCTTATAGATCATCTATAAAATGTATGACATATTAAATAATTTTTGATATTATACATAAACCACACTAAAATGCCTTTCAATAGGTAAAAGGAGCCATTTTAAATACGGGGAATTCTAATTAGATTGGCACAGTTAAGCCCAAAATATAAAGTAGCCATTGCTACCCATTTATCTTCAACCCTTGCCTTTAAGAGGCAAATGAACACAAAACACAGGTGAATCTTGCTTGGTTCTGAGACAGTGAAGGAATTTCCCCCATATTTAAATATATTCACATAACCAGTTATATAAATCTAAATATAAAAACAATCTCCAGTAAGTTTTAAGATGGCACTCACCCTCTTTGTGAAAAGTTTAACATTACTAACAAAGTCTAATCATATCTTTAGAAGGAGTAAACAGTGACAGCATTTACTAAATTGGAATTACTATTAAAATTTAAAAACTGAACATATTAATTTAACCACAAGTCAGTCTTAGTTTTAAATCAGGACTTCACAACAAAACATTCTGTCATTCATGATGGAAATTCCAGTGTATGAGATCTATTAAAGTATGGTACACATAAAAAAGTCATGAGACATTTGTTTTAATAAATAAGGCAGTGGCCAATTATTATTCATTAGTAGCTTTTTAAGATAAGCTATTAAGTCTGCCCTTTCTCCCTTCTTCTTAATGTCGGCAAAGATCATTTTTGTTCCAGGGATGTATATCTTGGGATTCTCCAAATACTCCATCAGTGTATCCTCTCCCCAAGTGATGCCTTTGTTCTTACTGGAGTCAGTGTAAGAGAATCCAGTGGCCTGATCCGTCTTCTGCCCAAAGATACCATGGAGATTAGGCCCAGTCTTGTGCTTGCCTCCGTTTTCCACAGTGTGGCACTGGGAACACTTCTGAACAAAAATCTTCTTGCCTTTCTCAGTATCATCCATATTTAATGCTCTTTTTCGTTGCGGGCGCAACAAAGGTTACCACTCCAAAGCCGGATGTCCCACTCTCTCCCTAGGTCTGTTTTTATAAATGATGGTGATAAACTAGCTCTGACTTATATGATCATTTTGTATGACCATGTAAGAGCTGTGATTCTAGGTTCTCTTTGGTCAACCTTAAGGAAAATGACAGTATAGCTACTCTAATAACTACCGCAAATAATCAGTGCTAATTTGCAAACTTCTGTCTAAAGAATGCATTAACAAAGAAGGGAAATTTCATGACTACCAGTTGCTATTAGATAAACTGCAAAATTGCTGTATTTTTATTTTCTAGAAAAGTTCACTTCAATTGTTACTTTTTTTTTCCTGAGATGGAGTCTCACTCTGTCACCCACGGTGGTGTACAGTGGTGCAATCTCGGCTCACTGCAACCTTTGCCTCCTGTGTTCAAGTGATTCTCCTAGCTCAGCCTCCTGAGTAGCTGGGATTACAAGTGTGCAGCATCATGCCCAGCTACTTTTGGTATTTTTGGTAGAGATGGGGTTTCACCATGTTGGTCAGGCTGGTCTCGAACTCCTGACCTCGTGATCTGCCCACATCAGCCTCCCAAAGTGCTGGGATTACAGGCATGAGCCACCACGCCTATCCCATTACCTTCTTTATGAAGCTTTTTTCTGATGCACAACATACAGAAAATCCCAGCCCAACACCTTCCCTAATCTAAAGTAGTAGTAAAACTCTCACTTCACAAATCTAAAACCTTAACTCCATTAGGATGCTGATACCTTCCATTTGGTAATTATAATTGTGTATACTTTATCTCCCCTTCTAAACTTTTCTTTTTTTTTGAGACATAGTCTCACTCTGTCATCCAGGTTGGAGTACAGTGGTGTAATCTCGGCTCACTGCAACCTCCACCTCCAGGATTCGAGTGATACTCCCGGCTCAGCCTCCCAAGTAGCTGAGACTACAGGTACGTGCCACCATGCCCAGCTAATTTTCTGTGTTTTTAGTAGAGATGGGGTTTCACTGTGTTAGCCAGGATGGTCTCTATCTCCTGACCTCGTGATTCACCCATGTCAGCCTCCCAAAGTGCTGGGATTACAGGCGTGAGCCACTGCGCCCGGCCTAAACTTCTTTAAAGAAAAAAGAAAATCGGTTTAACACTTAGCACAGTACTTTATATTAATTAGGCATCCAAGTAGTATGTGGAATAAATAAAGCCGCCTCTGGATATTCATTTAATTTGAGGATATGTTACAATTAAGTTATTCTAAATCCTACTCCCCCCCAAAAAAGGAAAAATACCAGTCCTAAAACAAAGTTCTTAAAGGAGAATATTATCATGGGCTGGGTACACTGGCTTACACCTGTAATCACAACACTTTGGGAGGCTGAGGCAGGAGGATCCCTTGAGCACAGGAGTTTGACACCAGCCTGGGCAACACAGCAAGACCCCCATCTCTTAAAAAAAAAAATAACAAAAAAAAATTTAAAGAGAGAATACCATCATGAATTTAGGCCACAATCTTTTAAATAAAACCTTGAAGAATTTATACCAAGCAAAGTGGTATGAAACTTCCTCCAGTCTAATAATTTCATGAGCTTTTTAAAAGAAGTTTTAGTAAATTTAATTGATATGCAAATTAGAATTCTGAAACTTCAGTGTATTTTACCATGGCCTGAAAGGGTTTACATTTCTAAGTAATAAATGCTACTAAAGTACGTGAATAGTAGTATATATACCAAAGGGATTTTTGCTATTCATCCACATTTTGAATCACTATAAAAACTTAAACAAGAAACTCATCTAGAATGATTTCCTTTTAGAAGGAAGAACAAAGGTGTCTTAAATCTAATACAGCAAAGAACCTCATAAAACCTTGACTACTGCTAAACAAATAATTAACTATGAAAAATAACCTCTCTATGACCATCAAGTAAGAAGTCTTTCCATTTCTTAATCATCCATTTTATCAATGATACAAGCAACTTAAGGCTATTAAATTGGACGTTAATGAGTTATTTTATGAATTCAAATAAAGGTCAATTAAAAATTATACCCAAATCAGAAACTCTCTATTGTTTTCTATTGAAAGATAAGCTTAGTGTTATCAACTTCATTTTCTTAACAGTATATTAATCTATCTCTTTTATTACCTAAAACAGATTTTTTACTGCTTTCTATAGATACCAAAATAATGGCCTATTCTTGTCTTTCAGAACCTTAAATTTCAGTTTATTCCTTAACATCTTCTATAATCTCATCCTACAAGGATTCATTAGAACTGTTGTTTTTCTTCAGAAATAACTTTATAGTATATTTTAATATTGGTAAGCAATGAGTTAACATCTATTTATGACTAACCACTACATAGTTCATGTGTCACATGAAATGATTACTGAACAAAATTACTTACATCAACACTGTTATGCTTCATTGCTATTGTATAGGTAATCTTTTTGACATATATACAGTACTAAATAAAGCAATGATTCTTAGAACATATACTTTCAGAAAAAGTTATCTATCACTTTCAAATATAAATGCAGTACATTGACAAGGAACCTGCAAAATTCTGAATTAAACCTGATACCCTCTGAGATCATCTACAGAGTTCTGTTCTCCTTAAAGTAATTATTAAAGATGGTGCTATTTCTGGATAAATAAAAGGTAATACTACAGTTATGACATTTCCCTAACAGCAGTTTTTGTCACCCATTTCCATTTTTAATATCAATGTTCAAATTATATGCTTATATAATTGTCTTGTAGGAAATAGTATCACCTAGATTTTTTTTTTACTTAGGCACACTGGAAGAGAAATTATTTTACAATCAAACTCATACTTACCTGAATAATTGTTGCCAATATATTAACATAATTACTTTCAGTTTGATAAAGCTCTTTTGCAACTTGCCACCTTGCTGACTGCTTTGAAGGAACCGGAGTGGAGTTTTTAGAAGACTTAGTACAAGACTTTGGGGTTTCTGAAATGTTAAAAGGTGGAAAGGTTTAATGGAAGCCAAATATAAATACCAAACATTATGTACACTTAACAAGATAAAAGGAGAGAAAACCTACTCTTATAAATCTATCACCATACAGATTTCCACTCAAAATTTTTTTTCTCATAGGCTTAAGCCAGAAAAAATTACTGGTCAAAAATATCACTGATTCCAGTTGGTAGGCATTCTACTAAATGTCATGTACTCTTCAAAAATGTCAAGGTTATTAAAACGTCAAGGTTACTAAAAACAAAGAAAGACTAAGGAACTGTTCCAAGTTAGTGAAGACTAGAGAAAGACAACCTAACAAACGTTTATCAAATGTGTATTGGATCCTAGATCAAAAAGAAAAAAACTTTTTTATTTTGCTAAAAAGGACTTTAGGACTTTAATAGGATAACTGGTGAAATCTGAAGTCTACAAAATAATTCATAGCATTAATGTTAATTTTCTTAATAATGTAATGTGTAGTTATTTTAAAAATGTGCCTCTATTATAGGAAACAGTTAAGTAATTAGAGCTAAAGGTACATCATGTCTGCAACTTCCTCTCAAATTGTATAGATATTCAAAATTCATGTGCATATGTGTATGTATGTGTCTTTGGAAAAAGAGATTTTGACTGAATGAATGCTAAAGCAAACATGGCAGAATATGTCCATTTAGGAAATCTGGGTAAAAGGTATAGGAATCTTGGTACAGCTAAAATAATAGAAGAGGAGGTGTAAAAATACTTACATAATAAAAGGAAAAGGTTGTTATAATTACACAATTACAATAATGCAAACTTGTCATATACATATATCAAAGAGAAACCCCCCTCAAATAAACCAATATTGACTGAAAATTCTTTGTTAGTTCAAACTGTCTTAATGTAATATAAAACAACCAGTCCAGAGTGGAAGGAGGGTACAATAGTATATTTTATATATATTTCATGAAAGAAAAAAAATTTTAGATAGGCGCAGTTACTCATGCCTGTAATCTCACCACTTTGGGAGGTCGAGGTGGCAGATCACTCTGGAGTTCAAGGCCAGCTTGGCCAACATGGTGAAACCTCATTGCTACTAAAAATACAAAAATTAGCTGGGCATGGTGGCACGTGCCTGTAATCCCAGCTGGGGAGGCTGAGGCAGGAGAATCACTTGAATGCAGAAGGCGGACGTTGCAGTGAGCCAAGATTGTGCCACTGCACTCTAGCCTGGTGACAGAGCAAGACTCCATCTCAAAAAATACATATTTTTTCAAAGGTTAAAAAGTGAAATACACGTGTTTCAATGCATAGTAGCTTAAAATACATTTTCTTGCTGTTAATACGGTTAGAATACTTTAACATTATGTATAGAATCACCTAATGGCTAGTTTTTCAATAGGAAAAGAAATGTATGACATAAAATAGAAATGGATGATATAAGAACCATAATATATATTTCCAGCACATCAATTTTACTCAATGATAAATAATTTTAAATGCTTTTATATGAAAACAATCATGTACTATGGAGTTCTGAGTCCTTTTTTTTTTTTGAGACAGAGTCTCACTCTGTCGCCCAGGCTGGAGTGCAGTGGCATGATCTTGGCTCACTGCAACCTCCATCTCCTGGGGTTCAAGCAATTCTCCTGCCTCAGCCTCCTGAGTGGCTGGGGTTGTAGGTGTACGCCACCACGCCCAGCTAATTTTTGTATTTTTAGTAGAGACAGGGTTTCACCATGTTGGTCAGGCTGGTCCCGAATTCCTGACCTTATGATCTGCCCACATCAGCCTCCCAAAGTGCTGGGATTACAAGCGTGAGCCACCATGTGCAGCCCTTGAGGGCTTTTTAAAGAAAACAGAATTCAAAACAATTTCTCACTTGCCAAACATTATTTTAGGCTACACACACCAGACCCAGAAGCCTCTGCCATTAAAGGATATACTTCAGTGGGAAAAAATTGAGACGCACTGATCTAATTTAATTATTTTGTGTCTAGGCAATGACCTACAAACTCGGGAATCTATTTTATAGAGCACCTAATATATGAGTATAGTTGTCATATCTGTTTACTTCAGTGGTTCATTTTCTTCTTGTCTCCTAAAATGCATATTCAAGTTTGAGTCCTTTATGATCTCCTCTTACCATCCCATGTCCTTGTCCATTCTGATTATGAACCCAATATATTCTCAGATCTAATCATGATCTCCCTGTCAAGCTGGTTCAACTTTTCCAAATGCCTACTGGATAGTTCTGCCTAATGCAACCTGGATTTCTCTAAAACTACACTACTTTCCTCCAAAATATAAACTTTCTATCTACGCCAAGGCAACATTTCTTTCATTTAATTTAGTAATTTGCCTTCACCTCTTTTTATTTCCTTCCTATTACTTCATTCTACCAATATTTCTCCAGTGCTTACTTTTCTTTCCAACCACCACATACTCTGGTTCAGCACCTTATTATTTCATGGCTCAAGCCACTGCAGTAGATAACATCATGATCTGACTGTCTCCAAACTGCGTTCCTTCTAATCATTCTTCAGAAGAACTCTCTACGAATTATCTATTCAATTTCTCTGCTGCTCAAGGAGTTTGTAAAATTCCTTGTTGATGACAATATATAGTTCAGATATTAGTTTGATTTGAAAGTTATCTAATATTAGGCCTCAATTAATGTTTTTAACTATTACTCCTCCCATTCCAAGCAAACTGACCTATCTATTCCTTCCTAAAAACTCAATTTGTATGCTATTATCTGTACGTTTGCTCCTCTTTATATTCTCAAATTCATCTCAATTTTCTGGGCCAACCTTAAATTCACTTTTAATTCTTTCGTTAAGTATTTAGTGAATAACCACTTTGTACTAGGGTCTGTCCAAGAATAAAACAGAATAAGAAAAACAAGGTTCATTTTCTCTTAATGATTACTTATTTGAAGAAACTCAAATAATAAAGAAATAAAAACTATAATTTCTATCAGTAATAACTACTACTGAAAACAACAACCAGGTCACAGGGTTGGCAGAAAGTAATAGAGGGATTTAACTTTACAGACAATCCACCACTCAGATTTCCTTGAGGCAAAGAGATCAAGTAAAGGTCTAAGGCATGGATATACTAAAAACATTTGAAGAAATAAAAGGTGGTATAACTGAAGCTGAGAGAGTGCAGGCATTATTAGAGAACATAATACCACATGAGATTAGGTAGATGAGGGCAAGATTACACAGGGACTTAAAAGCCATGGTAATATGCTGCCCATGATGTCGTTGAAGAAGCATCGTTAAAGTCTCTCTTCTCCTTGAGGTCATGTCTAAGTCAGAGTCCCCTAAAGAGTCCGACCAGCTGAGAAAGCTCTTCATTGGAGGGCTGAGCTTTGAAACAACCGATCAGAGCCCGAGGAGCCATTCTGAGCAATAGGGAACACTCAGGAACTGTGTGGTAATGAGAGATCCAAACACCAAGTGCTCCAGAGTCTTTGGGTTTGTCAAAAATGCCACTGTGGAGAAGGTGGAGGCAGCCATGAGTGCAAGGCCACACAAGGTGGATGGAAGAGTTGTGGAACCAAAGAGAGCTGTCGCAAGAGAAGATTCTCAAAGACCAGGTACCCACTTAAGTGAAAAAAATATTTTTGGTAGCATTAAAGAAGACACTGAAGAACATCACCTAAGAGGTTATTTTGAACAGTATGGAAAAATTAAAGTGACTGAAATCATGACTGACCAAGGCAGTGGCAAGAAAAGGGGCCTTGCCTTTGTAACCGGTGACAACCACTGACTCTGTAGGTAAGATTGTCATTCAGAAATATCATACTGTGAATGGCCACAACTGTGAAGTTAGGAAAGCCCTGTCAAAGCAAGATATGGCTAGTGCTTCATCCAACCAAAAAGATCAAAGTGGTTCTGGAAGCTTTGGTGATCATGAAGGTAGTTTCAGTGGAAATGACAATTTTAATCATGGAGGAAACTTCAGTGGTTATGGTGGCTTTGGTGGCAGAGCTGTGGTGGTGGTAGATATGGTGGCAATGGGGATAGCTATAATGGATTTGGTAATGATGAAAGCAGTTTTGGAGGTGGTGGAAACTACAATGATTTTGGCAATTACAGCAATCAGTCTTCAAATTTTGGACCCATGAAGGAAGGAAACTTTGGAGGCAGAAGCTTTGGCCCCTATGGTGGTGGTGGCCAATACTTTGCCAAACCACTAAACCAAGCTGGATGTGGCAATTCCAATAGCAGCAGTAGCTATGGCAGTGGCAGAAGTTTTTAATTGGGAAACAAAGCTGAGCAGGAGAGGAGAGCCAGAGAAGTGACAGGAAAGCTACAGGTTACAACAGATTTATGAACTCAAGCACAGCGATGGCAGGGCCTACCTGCCACAAAGACATGTTTTAGACAAATACTCATGTGTATGAGCAAAAAACTTGAGGACCGTATTTCTGACTAATTGTATAACAAGTTATTTTAGTTTCTGTTCTGTGGAAAGTGCAAAGCATCCCAACAAAGGATTTTAATGTAGATTTTTTTTTTCTTGCACCTATGCTGTTGATGGCTAAATGTAATAGTCTGATCGTGATGCTGAATAAATGTCTTTAAAAAAAAAAAAAACTAAAGTAATATAAAGCCATTAAGTGATATTAAAGCAGAGGAGTGCCATCATCTAATTTATATATTTTTAAAGACTTCTCTAAGTGTTACATATAGAAAGGCACAAATTAAAAGGGAGAGAATCAAGAGTTCTCATTTATTTAACTTTAAGATGTCTATTAGACATGGACAAGGAAGTACAAAGTAGGTAGCTTGACAGGGAAGGGGAAAAATTTGGGAGTCATCAGCATACAAATGTTTTTCAAAACCATGGAACTTACTAAGACAATTTAGGAAGAGTACCATAGAGGAGAAACAACGACTCAGGAGGAACATGCAACATTTAGAATTGAAAAAAGGCCAAGGAGAATGAGAAATGTCCATAAAGGAGTAGCTACTGATGTGCTGAATGCTACTATTGCATAAAAACTGTCTCCTAAGGACTACAGATCAGTTGGAATGGGTTGAAAGAACAATGAGAATCAAGGAAATGAGACAATAGATCAAGGTAATTCTTTTTAAGTATACTGATGTGAACAGGAATAGAAAAATGGGACAAAAGTGGAAAGTGTCATGAGTATAATGGATTTGGTAATGATGAAAGCAATTCTGGAAGTGGTGGAAGCTACAATGATTTTGACAATTACAACAATTAGTCTTCAAATTTTGGACCCATGAAGAAAGGAAACTTTGGAGGCAGAAGCTCCAGAGGAGGCAAAATCTCCAGAGGAGATTTTGATTTTTTTGTTTCTTAAATCTAGAAAATATACTTGTTTACAGACTAAAAATCAAAGAGAGGGAAATACTGATAAGCAAGGAAGAATTATAGGAGCCTTTCTGTATCAGTTCAGCACAAAGTGAACTCACCCCCCTCTGACTTCATTCTACCTATTTTCTCCATAACTTATGTGACATCCCCTGTGGTTTTGTTTGCTTTCTGAACGGCACTGGTTATGACTCTGGACAAATTACTTAACTTCTCTGTATCTCATTTAGTCATCTGTACAACAGGAATAATAAAATCTATTATAAACACACAAAATATATAAAGCATTTTGTATGTACTAAGCAGTCATCAAATTGCAACATTATTAAGCTTAACTATTCATGTGTCTTTTTCTCTTCAGCTAGAACGAAGGTAATTAAAGGCAAAGACTTTCATATTCACTACATCAGGAATTTATCCATATTCTAACAATTATTCCATTTCACTAAATTTTAAAGGCATTTTTTTTTTTAACAATGTGAATTACCTCCATAGTTAATGCTAGACTCTGGTGTGTTGGAGATATCTAGCAGTGACCCTATAGAAAGGGAATGCTCAGCTGATGCGCGCTTACGAGGAGGAAATGGTGACAGATCTGTCTCTCTGGAAAGCTGAGCAAGTGTTTCTTTTAAACGACGTCTTTTGCGATTGCTGTTAGGGGTATTTAGAGAAAGCATTGACACTGATTTCTTGAGCTCAGGAGTATTTGCCTGCAATCAAAAGCACAAAAGCTCAATTTACCTCCATGGTTCTTTACTGAGACAGGAACAAGAGAAAAATATATTTACAAGTCTGAAAAAATCTGGATTTTGCACAATAATTTTATAACCTATACTCTACCAGGCAATTCAGAAGTTTCATAAAATATAATAGTCAAGAGACAACCGTAATTGTCTAACCCCCAGTACCTCATATTTCTTCATAGCACTTTCACCATTACATTTTCATCTGTAAACTTGTTTACTGTCTGTCTGCTCCTTTATTAGGCCATAAACTCCACAAAGGCAGGGACCATTCATAGTCTGTTCACTGTATCCCTAGTACAGTGCCTGGACACAATGCTTTCTGATATGTGCTGAGTAACACTCGATTTTAAGAGTTCTCTCCCTAAATCTGAAACATACTTTTTAAATGTTGTTATAACTTTAATTGTGAAGAGTCTGAAGAGTGCACAATACCGTACTATACAGATTTTACAGAAACACCTCATCTTCAATATTCCACTTAAAGTAATTAAATCCTAAACTGATGTAAATCTTCCCTTAAAGCCTACTTCCATAACTCTGTCATTCTGGTGAGTGATACCACTCTTCACCAAGATCCATTATAAAGACTAGATTTCCTTGACGATATTCTACTATTAAAGTCATCTTTTTAATGACATCTCTCCCTTATTCTTCTTCAGTGGCTCCCAATACTTATAGGATAATATCCAAACTCATTAGCATATTAAAAATTTCTTGATTGGCCAGGTGCAGTGGCTCACGCCTGTAATCCCAGCACTTTGGGAAGCCAAGGAAGGCAGTTAGGTATTCGAGACCAGCCTGGCCAATATGCGGAAATCCCATCTCTACTAAAATTACAAAAATTAGTCGGGCATGGTGGCGTACACCTGTAGTCCCAGCTACTCAGGAGGCTGAGGCAGAAGAATCACTTGAACCTGGGAAGCGGAGGTTGCAGTGAGCGAGATCGCACCACCGCACTCCAGCCTGGACAACAGAGTAAGACTCCATCTCAAAACAAATGAAAATTCTTGATTTTATCGATCCATTAAGTTTCATCTGTTGGCCTTCCTTCCCACACTCTATTTTAAAGCCATACTAAACTACTTGTTATTTTAACGTATTCTCAAAGCTTTCATACCCTCTCCCAATTGGGGTTGTAACAAATGTCATACCTAGTTTGCCTAGTAAGTTGGGTCAACATTTTTTGCCCTGATTAATCCCATCTGTGTCTTTCAGAAAGAGTGAGGCTACCTAAAATACATTACTCAATTGCAGCACACATCATTCTGCATCACAACTATGTACAAATCTATCTTTCCATTAAGAGCCTAAGTTTCTGAAGATAGAGATACTCTTGTTCATAATGTTATGATCAAGAATTAGCACAGAAAATATATTAGGTTAAAATAATACACATTACATTGAATAGTTCCACTTAAATCTAACACAGACTAAGATAACTTGATATCCCAATTGTTTGAATTATTCTGAAATTCCTAAACATGCTCTCTAAATCTTCTGGACATTAAAGTGTTATTTTCAAACAATCAAGCTTAGAGAACAAATAACTAAGGGGTTAAAAGCATACCTTTTCATATAAATACATAGTTTCTCCAGCCCGGGCATCCATTTGAATGCTTCCCCAGAACCACTAGGTGAAAGAAAAAACATTTTAATAAACAGTTTAAATTTTATCAGAAAAGTTATTAATAGTGTTTTTAAAAACCAACCTCATTCTAGAATTACTTGCCTCTTGCTTCACAACATAAAGTTTCTTTGAAGGTTCAAAGGGAAGATCTTTTACTATATTCTCTTCAACTACAAGGTGAGTGCATCTTTCATCTCCAAGTGGTAAATATTTACCTCCTAAAGAGAAATGCACATAAGCATAAATAAGCCAATTTCCAAACTCAAATTTTTAAAGAGGTATATTGACCAGGAAGCGATTAAGCAGGCTTAGGCACTAAAATACATATAACTTTTACATTATACTAAATTTTACCTTGCATTTCAGTCATTTCCTCCATATTGGTTTTCTCTTCATCTGAAAATCCCAGGAAACTTAAAACACAATCTTGAAATGGAGGAACTTTAAATTCATTTCTAAAGTCATCAACTGCTGCACAGAAATTCCTGAAAACAAAATAAACTCTTCTAAAACCAGTTTAACTTAAATTCAAGTGTTAAGTATATCAATAAATCTATAGTAATTTTCAAGGTCTTAGCATAATCTATTGAAGCTATTTTACTTTGGTCCTGAACTGTTCACAAAAACTTGTTTAAAAAACTGATGTGTCCTCAGTCATCCCAAAAGTACTTTCTGACCAAATGTGATCACAGATAAGGTTACAAAAGATTCAAATATTTTCTGTTATATGAAATTTTATATGTGCTGTGTTCTAAGGGTTTCATGAAATCTAAGTAATGATAACTTTCATGAAATCTTAATCAATGATGAAGTGCCACAGCAAGAAATCATGAGCTCGGAAAGCTAAGCAAAACAAGGAAATAAATTACAAGCACCAAATAAAATGTAACCAGACAACATAAAATTTTAAAAATATGTAACAAAATCCAAATACCAAGACTTAGCTATTATCTAATGATTTCAGAATGTTTATAATAGTCAAAATTACTTCACAAGGTAAAATCCAAAGATATCACAGGTGTCTTTCAATTTTTTATAATTTTTTATTTTGCTCTTCCTAGATTTTATTTCCAAAGCTACTCAGACTGAATTTATTTTTTCTATCTATGAAGTTACCTTCTTCAGCACATGGATTTATCTTTAAAGCAGAATATTTAATTTACATAATGAACTACTAAATTTCTAACCACTTACTGTTCATTTCGCCTTTCCCAAGCTTTATAAATCCATTCTGGCTTCATAATTGGAGTACCTAGACTCACAGCAACCTAAAAATATAAACATTACTCTGAATTTTCTCCTTAAATAACTGCATTCAAGGAAGTTCTAAACAGTTACTTAATTTTTTTTTTTTTTTTGCAGTTTTAGATCACTATTTGCTTTCTAACAACATATTTAAAAAATTAGCAGAAAAACTGTCTCTCAATCATACAACTTAGGTTTAAATAACTTTAAAACAAGTTCCATAGTGTCCAAACTGTTTCCTTACTTTATTTTAAATAAATATATCTCTAAAGTTCATCTTTATTAAATTTCTATTTCTCTCTTTTCTTCACGTTTACTTCTTTGGAAGTATGAACCCCAAGATGGCACTACAGAAGAAGACATCAGACCAAGTCACTAAAAACTTAGATATGAGTTGGAACATTTAGGGTAAATGGAAGAGTACCCTAAAATTGCCATTTGCTACACAAATACACTAAGGGAGACAGAAAAAAATGATAAATTCTTGCTAAGGCATTTAACTAAAATCTTAAACTAAGATTTCAATCCTAATAAAAGTATCTTTTCCTTTTATAATTTTCTCAATTTAAACCTTAGAACCACTTTAAAAGAGCAGATCTCTGTTTACTTATAAAGGGAACTTAGACAACAGTGAATTATCTGCTCTCACAATTCCTCCAATGTTATTCATCTACCAACCCCCACAATCCTAGTCATCTTTCAACACCTCACTCAAGTTCCATTGCCTACTTAAAACTTAACCACTTTTGGCCGGGCATGGTGGCTCACACATGTAATCCCAGCACTTTGGGAGGCCAAGGCAGAAGGATCACTTAAGCCCAGGAATTCAAAACCAGCCTGGGTATCAGAGCAAGACCCCATCTATTTAAAAAAAGAAAAAAGAAAGAAAGAAAACTTAACCACTCTTATGATTTAAAAGTTTTTACTAAATATACTTAGAGCAAAAATTAAGTTTCTGTGTCTTAATTGTGGAAGAAATAAAAGATTGCTATTAAACCCATCCCAAAATAATGCCGTATTGAAATACACAAAAAAACCCAAATTTACATACCCTGAATTTTTCTCCTTGTGTACAATTTGCCACCAAATGTGTAACTTTTGAATTAAAGTCTTTTCGAATAACTCCACCCATGTGATGGACCAATGTCACCAATCTGACCTCAAAAGAAAAATTAAGCAACAATGACTTCATGATTATTTAAACAAAATTTCAACCACTGCTTACCACTCATTTAGCATTTACTAAATACTTTCTATTTATAAAATACATACAGGATTTTAATAAAGATAATAATTTTATGTCAAACTAAGTATTTAAAAAAAGATTAGTTTGCCTATTAACACAGGCAAAATTACAGAGGTGGGATTAGTAAAGATTATCACGGAAAACTGAGTTTAACAACTGGCTTTCATATTGCCTAAAAATGTTGCTAATACCATACTGCGTAAATATATTGTTTTTTAAAAAATACCAAGTTTTATCACATCAAGACTCTTCCCACAGAATTAACAGTAATACCCATCAGTTCCAACAACAAAGTATTGTGAACCAAAGAAAGAACTTTCTATGAATTCTCTAGGGCAACAGAATAGGGCTGAACTTGTAGAATAAAAAATTGCCACGTATAAACAAAAACTTTAAGTAACCAATGCAGCCAATATGCAGCCAACAAGACAGTCAAACAGAATTGCTATGAAATCTTTCTGTTAATTCATATTAGCCACCGTAGACAAAACATTGGATTCTTTACAAGGCTCTTCAGAATTTGTTTCTTCACAAAATTTAAACCGGTATAGACACAATGTTTCCCTTCAATATTTTAAAAATAAAACCATAGTACTAAAATGAAAAAAACAGCAATTTAAATTTATTTTGCTGTAAAAAATATGTTTTGAAAAAAATTTATTTCATAATACTTACTAGTTCTTCCTTTTTCCTAAATCCAGTAAAGCATAGTACTAGATTCATCATACTTGTACAATACAATGGGCGACATGAAAATGGCAAAGGCTGAAGGATACAACAATTTTAAATGTGAGATTTCTCTTTAGCAGAAAATACAACAAAACTTTCTCAAGCTAAATATATTTCCCCGCTTGCCATTCAACTTTCCCAATCCAAAGATTTACTGGCATTTTTAAATATGCAACAAAAAACAGCAAAAAGACAGATTGCAAGTTTTCCAATAAAAATATTTCCAATGATTCCTTAAACATATGTGATATACATAACCTAAACACTTTACTATCAGCAAATAAAACAAATATTAAATGCACTGACACACATAAAGTACTGTCTATAAGCGAAGTTTTCAGACTCCATACACTACTATAAATTATTCTAATTAATGTTATTAAAACAGGTCAGAGGCGTTTCATAATAAACACTGAGTAAATGTAATACATACACTTTTTTTCTTTTTTGTCAAGTGCTCAGTGTGAATAATACATACACTTAAACCAAATAAAATTCTAATCTTTAAGCTAATAAATGGTGATATTCAGTAAATAATTTACCCAATGATTTTCTGTGTATAAAAGAGAATGGTTTAAAAATAATAAAAGAATAAATTTGATTTTCATCATTATATAAGATTATTTTTCAAAATTTAGTCTTTGAAAGTTTATTTGGGTTTTGAAAGCAACCACTCCAAATCAAAATGTTAGAGAATTAAAGGTTAAAATGTCCTTATTACTAACATGTATAACAATAGAAGTACAAAGACCTAAGCAATTTTAAGTAAATAAGGCAAGCTTAAGAATGCCTAGACAGCAATAAAATCAAATAGAAACTAATTCTCATACAACTCATGTTAAAATACTGTTTAAAAACAGTATTTTATGGGAGGCAGAGGTGAGTGGATCACACGAGGTCAGGAGTTAGTGACGAGCCTGGCCAACATGGTGAAATCTCATCTCTACTAAAAATACAAAAAAAATTAGCTGGGTATGGTGTCATGCACCTGCGGTCCCAGCTACTTGGGAGGCTGAGGCAGAAGAATCACTCGTACCCAGGAGACAGAGGTTGCAGTGAGTGGAGATTGCACCACTGCACTCCAGCCGGTGTGATAGAGTGAAACCTTTTCCCAAAATAAACAAACCAGATAATCTTCTCTAAGACACTGTGGTGTTAAGACTGTGTATATGTCTGTGAATATGCATATGTACAATTATCATTATTTAACTTTCAAAGACCTTAGCTTTTCACTACTAAGTTTGAAATAGAGGAATTAAAGGACCACATTAGAGTAGCCACCATTATTCCTATGCTAAATATTTTACCCTCAACAATTAATGAGATTTTTTCCAAATGAATTTTTTGCTAATTAAAATTCATTAATAAAAATTTAAACTTGAAAAGTCATGATAAATAACACATATGCTTACCTCTCCTTTTTGTGAACAATTTAATACAACTGGTGGTCCAATAACTCTACAATCAGCCTTGTAGAGGTCATTAAAGACAGAATCCTGAAAGTCCATGACTACGAATACATTTTCAAATTCTGGAGAATCCAAGCCTTCAAATTCTTCCACTGACTCCATCTTTACAAAGCATACTTTAATTTCCTTTTTGTCATATAGTTATTAGAAATAAAAAATATTTATATATCAAATAATCCGTCTTTCTAAATAAAGCTTAAAAAATCAGTATCAACATTTTTAACGTTTATATTTGTAGAAAACAAGTTTCAATCATACAATAATCAGCGTTACTCTTAATATTTCTTTACTTATATTTTTACATATACATACCTCCATTCAAATTGTTTTTAAAATCTTAAAGATCAATATTATAAAGGTATAATTCTGACTTATCACTTATTAGTCATAAATCATCAAGTATGCATAATTCCATAAAATTAGAATGCTAAAGTTTTTAAGTACATGCATTTTGATATGAGGATGCATTAGAAAGATATCCACTCCAGATCAAGAAAATGATACCATACATAAAGTTCTTATTGTACAAATTATCTTCAGAAAAATAGGAAAATAATACTACAGCACTTAATACTTACAGAAAGGAAAATTAGCATAATCATTTTAGTAGATATGTGAGAAAGAAGAGAAAGATACACAATATATAGGCAGTTGCAGCATGGCAAATGCAGGATATAAGAAGGCAAGTTACTTACAGTAAACACTTTAAACATCCACAAAAAATAATGAAGATACTAAAGTACCTATATAACTCTTTTAACTCTTGCGTTAAATTAAAAAAAAAATAAAAATAAAAATAAAAGCTCAAAATGAGTCAGTAAATTATTTGAATTTTATTTGCAAGGCTGCTGCAATGTGAAAGAATACCCTCAAAATTCATATTGAAGCCCTAACCTAGAATGAAGAATGAAGTCCTTAGTATGTGACTATATTTGGAGATAAGGACTTTAAAGAGGTAATTAAGGTTAAATGAGATCATATGGATGGGCCCTAATCCAATCTGGTGTCCCAATAAGAGCAACCGCCAGGGATGCAAGGACACATAGAAGAAAGGCCATGTGAGGACACTGCAAGCTAAGGAGAGAGGCCTCAAGAGAAAGTAAACCTGCACACACCTTAATCTTGGACTTCTAGCCTCCAGAACTCTGAGAAAAGAAATTTCTATTGTTTAAGCAACTAAGTATGTGGTATTTTGTCATGGAAGCCCTAGCAAACTAAAATAGCTGGATTTGAGAATTAGATATTTCGTATGCTGAGGCAAATTCCCTGATGATTATAAATTAATGTGATTTATAATTTTGGAAATACAGCAAGAATTTAGGCTGTATAAAATTAATGAGAAGAAGGAAGCTAAGGAGTTTGAAAGAAAATTATCAGATCATTGTAGATTTTATGTCAATTACGGTTACAATGGAAATCCTTATAAAGTAACTTGGCATTATTTAAAATATATGCCATAGTTTTGGGTACCAGAAACACCTAATTTTCTAAAGTATAAAACAGTTTCTATTTATTAAGCTTCAGATTGCACAAAATACACCTTGTGCCTAATTCCAATCACCATAAAGTAGAATAATACAATCAAGGGAAGTGCAGCATGCCACATGCAATGAGTTGCTTGACCTACCATATTAATAACACTTTTTATTAATTTTTCATCCGATTTTCCAGGACAACTTTCTTTTATCTTTATAACAGGGACTTCCATTATTTTAATAGTCTGTGAAAAGAGACTTAAGTATGAGATTAAGAAAACTAAAAATTATTTACACACTGATGGAAGAAAAATTGCTTTACAAAAAACAAATAAAACTAAACTAAAACCTAAAACTCCATACCTTTAAGGCTTTTATAAGTTCTTCTTGTTTTCCAGCTTCTTGAACCAATATCACTCTTGTTTCAATCTGAGGCATCTCTTCTGTTAATATAAAAACATTTCATTATGTTTTTCATGTATTAACATCACAATCAGTAGTTTGTTATTGCGCTTTTGGCTTTATCTGGTATGTACATCTTGGAGAGAATCACAACTTTCTCTAAATTTAAGATGATTCAACTCTCAATTAGAAAAATATTTGGCTATATTAGAGAAAGAGAAAACATATTGTAGTAGGGTATAAAAACATCAGCATTCCTCCTAACCAGAGAATGAGCTATCTTATAGTTATCCTCCTCAACAGTGCATACAATTTTAGAAAAGACCCATTTATAAAACCGTAAAGGAAAAAGTAGCTCTTCACCTAACTAGTCATGACTATAAATTCTAGCTAAGAATGCTGTAGCTAGACTGCCCTCACATACAGAAAAAGGAATATCCAAATTAAGATGCCTCACTTTCCAAAGTTGCAAAGCATACAAATGAATAATCCAAACAATAATTAGAAAATCTACCTAGTATGAAGGGATTCTGTCAACAAATATTTACTTAATACCTGTGCTCTAGCACTACAGCTGGCATTACAATTAAGTCATAAGAAAGTCACTAGTAAGTTTAGAATTAATCTAGAAATTGTTTTAAAGCAGATAACAGGGTTACCTTCTACATATGAAGTAGATCCAATAAGTAAGTTTTCCTTGGAAATCTCAGTAACTTTAGAATCAAAAATGGAAGAGTCTGCCAAGCTAGTCCTCCTGGTAGTGGATGTTAACATACTATATTCAGCCATGGTTTGTATTCTTCTAAATCAGCTGCAAGAATAACATTTGAATAAAAATATATAAACATGATCATTGGGCAAAAATAAGCATTAGAGGTTCTTTTGTACCTAGAGTTTATAAAAAGTATTATTACCCATTTTTCTTAATGAACCACAGAAAGTCACTGAACTTCTATGAGCCTCAATTTCTTTTTCTGTAAAATAACATACTAATATCTGACTCACAGGAATAAAAAATAACAATGTATCGAAAGCACAGAGCATTACTAGACATACAACAAATTGAACTGTAGTCATAAATATTCTACCTCCCTCTTCCACACCTTTGCCCTCAACCAACTTCTCTTCTTATATTCACCTGTAACACCACCATAACACACCTCCCAAAAAATCCTAGATGAAAATTTGAGATCTATCCTTATTCTTTCTTCTCTCACATTCCCCTCCCCAAAATTCATATCAATCCCACCTCAAATCTCTGGGACCTGGCCCCAGTTCTCTATATGCTCAATGCTACAATGGTCACTTGGTCTAATAAAACAGCTCCAAACAACTTTATCATCGGTTTCTTTAGAAATCACTCTCCACATGGTTTTCAGGGATATGCACCTAAAAACACATGTGACCATATCACTTCCCTGTTTTACAACTTCCATGACTATTCCTTATATATCCAGGTCCAAATTCACCACCAAGTTCACAATTTGGTCCCAGTCAAACGATCCACCTTCAGCATCTATAACTCCCACAGTCCCTCTACAATCCATGCAACAGCAACAATGAATTTCTCAGCTATTTTTCAAGCACAAATCATAATTTATGTCACATCAGTTTGCAATTAATAGTGCCCGACTCTCCACCTAGCTTGTCTTCCAACCCCCAATCCATCACTCTTGATTGATCCTCTGTGAACATCTCTGAACCTCTCCTGTATAATTCGACTGCTCCCTTGTCAGTATTTTCACGCTCCTTTAAAAACACCTCTCCCCTAAAAGGTTTGACAAAACAATTATGCATGGGTGGGTGCCAATGTAACTCTGAATTATGAAAGAAAATCGTTTTTTAAGTTTTCCAGGACTTAAGAAGAGTTTAAAAGCTAGATAGGGAATAAAAGGTTTAACAGGTTTTCATTAGGCTGAGCTGGGTGGCTGACATCTGAAATCCCAGCATTTTGGGAGGCCAAGGCAGGAGGATTGCTTTCGGCCAGAATTTCAATACTGGACTGGGCAATTTAGCAAGACCCCATCTCTACGAAAATTTAAAAATTAGCCAGGTGCCTATAGTAGCTATTGGGAAGCCTGAGGTGGGAGAATCATTTGAACCCAGGAGTTTGTATTCTTCTAAATCAGCTGCAACAATAAAGTAGTGAGCTGTGATCCCACTACTGCACTCCAGCCTAGGTGATAGTGCAAGACTCTGTTCTCTCTAAAAAAATTTATTTTAGAGATTTTCATCAATTTTCAGTAAGTTGACTGTTGATTACCTGAGAGTAAATTTCCAAAATATTAGGCAAATATATAGAGGACCCACTTTTAACTAGAGCTACATGTCTGACTTTCCCCTTTCCTACTTCTTCAGATTAATAAAATAAATACCTTCCTCCAGAGTGAAGAAACAGTAAGGAATCATAATATCATTTTTGGATGCTGATAATAAGGAATGTAATAACTTGCACACTAATAACAGCACAGTTGTTAGCATGTTACATGACACTTCAAAATCAGGCAACTCAGCTTCCTGTCTCAGCCCTGCACATAGCCATTTAAGCCTCAGTTTCCACATTGGTGGAACAGACATTGTACTACAACTAAAATCTAGTTATTATGAAGACTGAATAGATGTCTTAAAGTGAACAATAAGCAACTATTCTCATGCAGATTCACAATATGGATATTTCTTATTGCTTTACCATACATCCACGTCAATCATTATTCTAAGGCTTTCCAAAGGTGTGCTCCAATAGTTGTAGCAACCTTTATTTAGAATCAGCGATAAATTCTATCCAGCCCTTATTATTTTAAGTCTTCTACACTACCATTTCCAATGAAAAGGCTTGGCTTTCATTCAAAGTCCCTTTAAAAGAGTGTTTTAAAACAAAAAGTCAAGAGAGATGAGCTAACCTGCTTTAAAGGGAAATCAAAAATACCATTTGAAAATATTTACATTTTCCTCCTATGCCTCCCTTTTTAAGAGGGAGCAAAGCAGATGATCAACAGCAGATGATCAAAAGCAGATGATTAATAATTAAAATTGTCCCTGATGATACTGTATATGATCAGTTTATTGCCAAAACAGCTTCAAAATTTAGAGAAAAAGAGATGCATGGTAAATTGATGACATAACTAACATCCAACAGTCTGATTAGAAACGGAAATATATTAATCACTTTTTTCAAATTATTGTATTCCAGAAGCCTTTAAAATAAACACAATAGGATCTGTGTTCATAAACCTCCACCGCTTCTCACCCAAGAACAGACCCAAGGAGCTTCTGACTAAATACACTATAACGCATGCCCCCTGTTATCCCAGAGAAAAAATTTGCCATGTAAACAAACATTCAAGTTTCCCTTTACTTATATACTTTTTAGGCAATCATCTTCCAAGGTGAAGAACTAAAATGCAATTCTGGATATAAAGGTGGTATTAACAATAACATTAACAACTGGCATTTACTTAACGCTTAATACGTGGCAGACATTGTCCTAAACCTTTTAATCTTTGCAGTAAACCTAAAAGGCAGGTACTGTTATTATTTTCAATGTATAGATGAAGAAACGTAGGAGCAGAAAGGTTACTTAAGAGGTTAGTAAGGGGTAAACAGGTATTCAAAGCTCGGCTGAATCCAGAGGCTGCGCCTTTAACCACTAAGCCAGACACATCCGTGCCGGGCGGTGGGTAGGACCGGGAGCGGATGTCCTGGATTTATCTTGCAAAAACGAAAAACTAAACTTCCCGCAAGGAAGCCAAAATGAATCCTAAAGTAAAACCACTGCCTACTCTGAGATAAGCCCCCGAAGGCTACAAGCGCCGGCCCCCAGAGCCACAGGGCTGCGCGGCTTGCCAAAATCCCTTTCCCAACTCCCTCCCGTCACCCACACTCTTCCGGCCAAAAGAGCCAACCGGTGAGGGGGAAAATGCCCAGCAATGCCGGGGGCTTCGGGCTCCCACTCCGCGTCGGGGCCCGGCTGCCGGGCTTGCGGTGCGGCGGGGGAATTCCCGGAGCCGGGAAGCCCGAGCTGGGGCGCTGCGGAATTCGCGGTCACGGGGGGCGGGGACGTCGACCGCAGGCAAAAGAGCCCCTGGCGGTGGAGCCGCTGGCCCACTTCCACCTCCCTCACTCACATAGAGTCCTTACCACTCTCAAAACAATGCCCTGAGCGTTCCGCCTGTTCAAACGCCGACTCCTCTCACAGACATCGCCATTCCTTGCCGGGGGCCGCCACAACTGATTCAAAAAGTGAGCAGCTCTCTGTAAGAGCCATGCCGATTGGCGCGGGATGTCAGCCTCTTTCCCATAGGCAGGAGTCTCCAGAGGGGCGGTGATTGGTCGCCGCTCTCCACCAACCTGCAGGCGCCAATTGATTGGCTGAGCGTGTGTTTCAAATAAGCCCAACGGCTCGGCGTCGGGACGTCAGGAGTTTGCAGAGAAGTGCCCGGATGTGGCCAGGAGGTGGCAGTGGTGGTTCCTGAGCGCCAGCAGGAGGAGCAGGTGTTTCTGTGACTACCGGGTGTTTACTCAGTAAACAGCCTATTTCTTGAGGAGAGTTTGGGTAGATTCTCCCCGGCCCCACCCAGCTTCTTTTTCTAAACGCTGCCAAATCTTTTAAGTTTAAATCAGTGCCTCCAGAGATAAATGTTTTCCCACTGGTTGCTGTGAGCTGTAGGATTTTCCTATCGGGATGTTTTCTGCTTTGGAATGTATTTAAATTTGAGTTAAGGGATTTAGACTTTAGTGGTTGTATTGGCGTGTGGCAAGGCCGAGGACTGGTCCTAGAACTCGGGCTCGCCAGGTGGACTTCAAATCAGCAGCCGCTCATTTAAATCCTGTTCTTTAAAGCACTGCGCTCCCATCTAGGGAATATCGCGGATCAGAATCAATTCTTAGAAATTAGAAAAATTCTCGGATTTTTTTTAAAGATAAGCTTGAATTTGATTAAAAAAAATGTCACGAGATCACAGAATTTTTTGGAGCCAAAGTAAATTGTCTCTTCACTGCTCCCCTCCGCCCACTAAGAACTTGTACTTTCCCCTAAAGTCAAGAATTTACCAAGTTTTTCTGTGATTCGTGTTGCTATTATGAAAATAGTTTATCTTTATTTTCTAAATATGATATTATGTAACATAATCTTTTAAGAAAAATGCATCCCCACCTGGTGGGTTTTGCATAGTTCCCACCTGAAGGCTAATATAAATAAAAGAAGAAAGGGGAATCGATACCAGAACACTACCAATAAGAGGAGGCAAACCTGTACTTTGGGATGGAAAACTTAAGAGCATCTCAAGCAGGTCGTGGGGACTTACAATTTTTCCTAATTTTGTCAGGCAACCTTAGAATGCCTGAAAAGTTTATAATGCTTTCCACAAAATGAATGAAGTAATCTGGTAATTACTGGTTTCCCTGCTTGTCAGTACTTAAGTCTGCCCTTCATTAAAATGCTGTGATAACTGTTAGGGCAGAAGAAAAGAAAAACAGCAATTGAAATTTCCATTTGGAATGTGGTTGCATATTTGGAAGTTGGGTGTGCCCAGCATTCCAAAAATATTCATCACTGAAAACATATTAAGCTGCTGTGGAAAGCAGCCCCACTTCCTCTGTGCACCACTTTCTGCTCAACAGGCTTTCCAGGGCTAATGATTAACTGTGTATGGCATCATTGCCCTGGATTTTAAACCTCCCTAACAAAAGCTATACTTGATTTTTTTTAAGGAATGTGCAGCAGTTAGATTACCAAATAAATGGGTAATGCAATCTTTTTCACTCTCTTAGGTCTTCATTTACGCATCAAATATTTACTAATTGTAAGACAGCCATCGTGCCTGTTGGGGTTATAAAGATGAATAAGGCATAGAAAACTGCCTCTCTGGACCACACAATCTGGTAGGGGAAATTAGCAGATAAACAGATAATTACAGTAGAAGGGAGAGAAGAAAGAGAATGAGCATACTGATCGTTTAGTATGCACTTTATACCTTATTTGGTCCTTAAAACAACCCTCAAGTAGGTATCATAGTCCCATGATACCATGAACCTTAGGAAAGGTTTAAGTAACTTACCCAAGGTCTCCTAATAAATATTTAAGTCTACATTAGAACCCAGAAATAATAGATGAGTGTAAATAAAGTCTAGTATAGATCTGTCTGCAGGCTCAAAGAAAGCAATGGGGAGGGGAGTATCTCAGATAATTGTGTGCATAGGTGATCATATGCCACTTAATTGCACCTAGCAGAGGCCAGGTGTTGGTAAAGTAAAACATGATCCCTAATCTTCAGGTGTTTTCAAAAAGCTAGTACTGCAAAGGCAAATGCTACACATTGCTATTTAATAAACACAGGAATCTTCACATGTAGGTACCAAATAAATATTTCTAGAATGAATGAGCTAGATCCAAGTTCATCCATAATGTTTGGGAGACTGGATGTCCTGACTAACCTATTTATAGGTTATTCATTTAATAACTTAAGCACCCATTAGGCACCATGCTAACACTGAGAATATAGCTGTGACAAGACAAATATGGACCTTGTTCTCATGACTCTTCTAGCAGATAGCTGTATTCGTGGTGAAAATTTATTCTATGCATAGGTTTTCACAGAATTTAAATACTTACAAAACAATAATAAAAGTAACTTAGTCTTACTGAGTCAGAAGCTGTTTCAAGTGCTATAGTGTTTCAAGATCAGCATTATGAAAAATTTTTAAATACTGTATAGGGCATAGACAATTGAACTGAATGCCATATTAACCTTGAGCTTTTAAAAAAAAAATTTTTTTTTCTTTTTTTTGACCCAGAGTCTCGTTCTGTAACCAGACTGGAGTGCAGTGGTGTGATCTCGGCTCACTGCAACCTCAGCCTCCTGGGTTCAAGTTATTCCCCTGCCTCAGCCTCTGGAGTAGCTGGAACTACAGGCACGCGCCACCACACCTGGCTAATTTTTTGTATTTTAGTAGAGACAGGGTTTCACCATGTTGGCCAGGATGGTCTCTATCTCCTGACCTTGTGATCCACCAACCTTGGCCTCGCAAAGTGCTGGGATTACAGGCCTGAGCCACCACGCCCAACCCCCAAAAATAAATGCTTAGTATTAGCTTGTTTACTTGCACTTTAGGCTCATAAAAGGTCTATATATATATACACACACATATATATATATGAGAGACAGTAAACAGTTTGGTGTGGCTAGATTATAATATACATGCAGGAAATAAGAATAAATAAAAGGCTCCTCTTCAAAGCTTTCTTCTTAGTTCATTATGAATAAATAATAGTTTCTTCAAAGGTTAATTTACTTTAAAGGTTTTGCTCATAATCTTAAAGTAGTTGTTAGTCATAATAAAGAAATAAGTGCATCCCGTGTACTTGGTTCTTACACTTTAACCTAGATATTTGCCCTGACATGCCCAGGCAAGTCTTAGGTCATAGCTTATTCCCCTTCCTTATTTGAAAATGTTATCACTTCTCTAAGCATTCCTGAAGTTTCTTTCTCTTTTCCTTTGTTCTCCTCTGCCTTTACTTCTTTAGAAAATTGCCAAGTTTTTAGCCAATCCAGTCAAGCACAGAATATGAGGTCCCATTCGGGCCAATGGAAACTAGACACAGCAGTAGGGCGATTGCATCAGGTTTTGAAAGTTATAAATGTCCCTGTCTCCTCGTTCAGGTGTGCTCTCGTGGCAAGACTGCCGGCAAGTTGCATCCGGAAGTAAAACTAGCCTTGCTGAGTAATCCATTGTCTCGGTATGGATTTTTCCCGACGTTATAAACCCATTTCCAACAATATGTGAAGAGAAGAGTGGAAAACACTAACTATGCTAGGTTAGGCTGGGTGTGGGGGCCCATGCCCGCAATTCCAGCGCTTTGGGAGACTAAGGCAGGAGGATCTTTTGAAGCTGAGAGTTCAAGACCAGCCTAGGCAACAAAGTGAGGACCCATGCTCCCCTCCCCACCCCATCTCTACAATAAAAATTAAAATAAAAAAATTTGCTAAGCTTTGTGGCATGTATCTGTGGTCCCAGTCTTTAGGAGGCTGAGGCGAGAGGATTGCTTGAGCCCAAAAGTTCAAGGCTGCAGTGAGTTATGATCTCGTCACTGCACTCCACCCTGGGCGACAGAGCAAGACTCCCCTGCCCATCCCTTAAAAAAAAAAAAAAAAAAGCTATGTTAGAAGGAGCTCAGGAAGGGCTCCAGTGTCATTATAGAGTTTAAACTTTATGCTGAAAGCACTGAAGATCAATTAAAAACCTTGAAGTAAGGAAGTTATATGTTCTGTGTTATTTTTTAAAAGTAGCAAGCCAGCAACACAACTTCATTTGAAATAGAAGAATGAAAGAGAAGAAAGACCAGTGAGAATACAGTTGAATTGGAACACACATGAAATGATAGTTTGAACCAAGACAGAAAAGGTGGATTGGAGAGATAAAGAATAGAAAAAATTAGCAGGACTTTGATTAAATATAGAAGGTAAGAGTGGAATAAAAATATGTAAAAATTACTACATTCATATAAATTACTGATAAATAGCAGTATCATTAAATAAATAAAAGCCTCCTAATTCAGAAGGCTAGCTCTCTTTCTTCCTTTTAATGAACAGCCAGTTCGAGTCATAGTTCTTGAATTTTTGAATCCCAAAACCTCTGTTCAACACTTATTTTGATAGGCAATATTCTAAATGTTTTACACTCAGAATTGCTTTAGCTCTAAAATGTTAACTTCAAACATTCCATTCTGATTATGAAATGTTCTAGCCATCTCTTAATCACTTTCACACACAAATCAAGGATGTTTAGCCTTCACTTCCCCTTAACGATAGCATCCCTTTCTAACCCATGGTCATTAATTCAACTGGTAAAAGACCGCCACTTTCACTGTCTTGCTTTTCTTCCTGCCTCTCTGATCTTTCCTTCTCAGTTTCCTTTGCTTAGACATTATTGTTCCCCAAGGTATTATTCTCAGGCAAACCCCTTTCCCTAGGTGAACTCATTCATTCCCAGGGATTTAAGTGATATGCATATGGCTCCAAGTCTCTCTTTCTTCCCAGACCTTGTTGAAACCCACTCTGTAAAACCAGATGTTTACCAATTTTCTCTACTCCTGTGACCCACAATCATATCAAACTCTATATGTGCTAAAGTGAATTCTTCATTTTCCCCAGCTCTCCATCCTTCATCTCCTCTGCCTTTTGTATTTCTCTCTTGATTGGCAGAATCCTTATCTACTCTCCGACTCCCAGGTTGGATCTCTTAAAGTCATCTTCCTGTTCTCTTCCTCCCCTCGGTCTCCCTGCACCACCACCCCCAACATCATTCTC